AAAAAAAAAAACCTGACACATTTGATCCACGATTCCGAGTTTCGGTTTTTCCTTCTTCGAATCTCTCTCTGTTTGTTGACGAGTATTTACCTAACCAGAACCAAAGATCATCAGATACTCGCTATAATAAGGTAAAGTTACTTTTTTTGAAGGAAAAAAACAACAAATCTGTCGCCAAAATTGAAGTAGAAATTTTTTTCAATCTTACAGTTTGAAGAGGGTAGGTGATGAGCTGAGCGATTATTCCACCGCCGGCACCGGCGAGGCCGTTGATCAAGGCGTCCGACATAATCTCCACGAAATTTCAAGTCCTATTTCCTTGAAATTCGGGAAAATGATGGAGAGATAGAGAAAGAAGAGATCTGGTGAGAGAAAGGACAGTGAAATATGGCAGCTCACAATAGTTAAATTTAATTCAGAAAATGGACATGCAGGAAGCGCTCTTTCCAACAAACGGAGTTTATTTTTTTCCAAACGAAAATATATTATATATTAATAACTCAAAAAACTTACAAACCGATAACCAACGGGTTATGAAACACGGGGGAATCCACATCAAGTTCCCCCTCTAAAGCCAACATGGCTAGAGACCTACCAGAGGAAGGAGAAGAACCTAGTCTAAATAAACAAGACCGAAAAGATTTACCTAGCAAACTAATATCCTCCAAAATAACATTGGAGTTACAAAGGGATACATTCAAATTATTTAGCAGATACAAAACTGACTTTAGAGAAATAGTACAGACAATGTGTTGCCATCCTTCTTGTACAGCTTTTTCTAACACCCATCTGATTGCACAAAGATTAGCATTCTCCTCAGTCAGCCAACCCTGCCAAACATCCTTCCACTCATGCTGCAAATGTCCCTCTGAGTAAACAACAGCTCCCATTCCCACTTTGCCAGAAGAAGAACCTTGGGCACTGACAGATATAAGAATTTGTCCTACCTCCATGGAAAATTGGTTCTCCACCAGCCTAGTGTTCCTGTGAGTCTGATCCATGCCCTTGTGTTTCTTGGCTTGTGCTTCAAAAAACTCTCTCATCTCCCTGTTAGCCTGTGATACCAGTTCAATTTCTGGGACAACCTCCTGTTGAAACTTCCATCTATTCCTTGAACACCATAATTTCCACATAAGGTAAGCTGAAATGCAAATCCTTTCTTCCATAAGATTCTTATTACTGGCAATGCAAATGTCCATCCACCAATTTTGAAATGAACATCCCTTCTCATCAAATGCAGCCCAGTAAATACCAGCTAATTTCCAGCAAAGCTTAACCCTGGGACAAAGAAATAACACATGCTCTAGATCTTCACTGTCCTCCCCACAAACATTGCAGATGATGTCAACATGCATTCCCCTCTTAGCAAGTTGCAGGTTAGTGCTGAGGAATCCATGATAACATCTCCATAAAAAATTTCTGATTTTGTTCTTGATAGGTAATCCCCATGTTCTTTTCCACATCCTCTGTGCCTGCACTATGCCATTGCTTGAGCTTTCCCCAGAATGTTGAGTGATGGCATTCTTCTGAATGACTTCATAAGCTGATTTAACTGAAAACAAACCATTAGGAGACCAGTGCCACACCCATTTATCCTTAACTCCCATGTGGCTGATTGGAATTCTCAGAATAGCCTCAGCTTCCAGAGGAGCAAAGGACTGTAAGACTAATTCCCTATCCCACCTCAATTCCCCTCTCACAAATAAATCCCTCACCCTTCTAAACCTAACTCTATCCCCCTGGAATTGAAGAGAAGGTTTAAAAAAAGGAATCCCTGGAATCCAAGGGGTGTCCCAGACCTGCACAGACTGACCATCTCCAATCTTAACTCTAGCCCCTAACTTAAGATACTCTCTAACTCTCATCCAACTTCTCCACAACCATGAATCCCCATGTTTGACCTCAACCTCAAATAAATTATGCTTATACAGATACCTACCCTTGATAACTCTACTCATCAACAGATTAGGTTGAGTCAAGACTCTCCAAAGCTGTTTGACAAGCAGAGCATCATTGAACATACACAGGTCCCTAAATCCCAACCCCCCTTCAATTTTACTTTTAGCCAACTTATCCCAAGATGCCCAATGAATTCTCTCTCTCCCTCCCTTAGACTTACCCCACCAGAACCCAGCTGTATACTTACACATATCCTTGCACACTGAAACAGGAATTTTAAAGCAAGACATAGCATATATAGGCAAAGCTCCCAGCACACTTTTAATTAAAACCACTTTACCTGCTTCACTTAAGAAAGAATATTTCCAATTATCCACTCTTTTTTTAACACACTCACTCACATATCTGAATGTTTCCTTCTTGGACTTGCCTATCCCCAAGGGTAACCCTAGATATTTGGCAGAAGAAACACATGAAATATTGCAAAGAGTGTGACAGATTACAGCTTACTCAGAGGCAGAAGTATTTTTATTAAACAAAACAGAAGACTTATCAAAATTGACCAATTGGCCTGAGGCTGCTCCATAATGATTGAGAATATCAAGAATAACAGCAGCTTGATCAAAAGAAGCTCTACAAAAAAGGATAGCATCATCTGCAAAGAAAAGATGAGTTAACAAAGGGGAATGCTTATTTAACTTCAAACCTAAGAAAGAAGAATTCAAGGTGGCCTGTTTAATGAGGTTGGACAGAGCTTCAGAAAGCAAGATAAACAAATAAGGTGATAGGGGGTCACCCTGCCTCAAACCCCTGGAAGGCACCACAGAACCCAAAATATTACCATTAATATTAAATGAGAAAGAAGCAGAACTAATACAAGCAAAAGGCCAAGATAAAAACTTATTACAGAACCCCATATGCCTACAGACTCTAATAAGAAAGCCCCATTTCACCATATCATAGGCTTTGGCCGTATCTAATTTAATGGCCATAAATTTGTGCCTGCCTTTTCTTTTACTATTAAGAAAGTGGACAACTTCATTGGTTATGATGGCATTATCCAAAATTTGCCTATGGGGGACAAAAGCTTATTGAGCTTCAGAAACACATACATTCAAAACAGGTTTTAATCTATTTGCTAGAAGTTTAGCAATCACCTTATATGTAACTGTACATAGGCTAAAAGGCCGATAATCATGAATTTTAGAGGGATTTTTCTTTTTTGGAATAAGGGTAATAATAGTATGCCCAGTGGCCCTAGGCAATCTACCAAACTGAAAGAAATTTGTAATAGCAAGGCACAAAAAATCTTTAATAATACCCCAAGAATGCTGGAAAAATAAAGGGGTCATACCGTCTACTCCAGGGGCTTTATTAGGATGCATATCTATTAAGGCTGATTTGATTTCCTCTTCCTCTACCTCCTTAGTCAGTTCTAAATTCATCTCCCTAGTGACAGATACAGGTATACCCCTCAAAGAGCAGCTCTCTACAGATGCATTTGAAGTTCTCAGTAATCTAGCAAAGTAATCCTGAACTTCAGTAACAATCTCTTGTTCAGACCGACATCTGCTTCCATCTGCTCTAATCAGATTCTCTAGGTTATTGACCACCCTTCTCTGTTTCACTGAGGCATGGAAAAATTTGGAATTTTGATCACCATCCTGCAACCACAGCTCCCTTGATTTCTGCTTCCAAAAGCACTCCTCATTCCTATAGGCTTGCTCCAACTGCTGCTTACAATTTTCCCATTCTGTCCAATTTCTTAATCCACCCAATGATCCCAGTTGCTCCAACTTCTCCTGGCAAATTTTTATAGTCTTGCCTGAATTAGTACTCAAGGATGAGTTCCAAGCTAACAGTGCCATTCTGACATTTCTTATTCTTTTTTTTGTACGCTAAACAAAGCAGGACCCTCCACAGGTTTATTCCAAGCCTCTCTGACAACCTGCTCATATCCCTCTATTCTTATCCACCTGGAATCAAATGAAAATCTTTTCCTTCTCACTGAGGTAGAAGGGTCAGAGTCAAGAAATAACATGCTATGATCAGAAGAAGTTAAAGGGATAACCTTGACCACAGCATTGGGGAAATGAAAGAGCCAGTCAGGGGAAACAAAGAATCTATCCAATTTGACATCAATAAACTCCTCACCCCTCATGTTATTAGCCCAAGTAAAATTGTGACCACTAATTCTGGGTTCCACCACATTAAGACCTCTCACCAGAGCTCTAAAACTAGAAAAAGAACACTCTTCTCTGATTTTACCCCCCTTTTTCTCAGAGTTAGATAAGATATCATTAAAATCCCCACACAGAAACCAATACTTGCCCCATCCTAGACTATGCCTTATAATAAAATTCCATTGGATCTGCCTAATGGAAGCATCATTACTAGCATACAAAAAGAGACCCCACTGGACCATAGAATTAGCCCCTACTACAAACTGGACTTCCATACAAAAATCAAAACAATTAATATTCAAAATAGAGATTCTATTAGACCAAGATAATAACATACCCCCCTAGAACCTACTGGGTCTACATAGCACCATTTATCTTCTAATTTCAATTTTCTACAAACAGTGATAATGAACTTTCTTTTTTTCTTAGTTTCAGACAAAAACAAAAAATCCGGTAGGTGAGTTCTAAGAGACTCTCGCACTTGGGAAATTGTAGAGGGTCCTCCCAGACCTCTACAATTCCACACACAAACTCTCATTGATCACCTTGGGGCCATTTCGGGCTGGCTACCTCCACCCTAGATATGCTGACAGATTGAGAGGTTTTAATTCTCTTAGCATCCATAAGAGAATTCACATTCTCTGAATCATCCCTCAACACAAATGTTCTCTTGTATGAAAGAGAAGGTGGTTGGGGTTGCAGTTGTAAAGAAACTATATTATCCACAAGCTTACTATCCTGCTTGGTAGACAATTTAGTTCTTCTCACAAAACCTTTAGGTCTATTAACCACAGGTGACTCAGATTGCCCCATTTGAACATCTACCTCTATTAAGTTAGAGGGATTATTCACTGGGATTTGAATATCCATGTTGGAATGAACAGACTTAGGACTCTCACTAACAACCGCATTGTTAGCTGGGCTACTACCACTAGCTTCATCCATGGAGACTAGCTTAGAGCCAGTCTCTGATTTGTCAGCAATAGGCTTAGCTGCAGAAGTACTACCCTTGGCATCCTGAACACCCTTATCAGATTGAGGGGTATGAGTCTGATGTTCAGGTGTCCTCTCAGGGGATGAGTTATCTCCAGAGCTAAATCTAGATAATCTAGACTCAGGAGAAAAATTACTACTGGCTCTTAACCATTCCCCAAATTGTCCAAGATTAAGATTATTCCTAGCAACATCCTCTTTCTTAGCAATGCAT